TGCTGCGCAGTAAACACGTCCTTTAGTTGGTGGACGGACATCTCGCCTACGCCATAAATGACGCAACTTGTCAAAAGCTAGTCGCGCTTTTTATATTCGTGCTGAGATTTTGTCACACACCAGACCACAAGGGCCGATGAGATCTCCAAGATAAGTGAAGCGGTCGACACGCTCAACCACACTCCCTATCATTAGTTCAGATGTCGATGCAACCCAATCCTGAAGCAACATTTTCAATTTGGAGAGAGAGAATCGTATCCCGAACACGCTTGCATTGTTGCTGAGAATGGTCAGAATACTATATTTTGTCAGCGTCTTCGCCAAATAGAACTATGTCATCAACACATTCTAAGTCAACAAGTGAATCCAAATCACTTCAGACGATAGAGATTCAAAATCTGAACCAATTTACCAATTTTACCTAGTATATAAATGTAAACTGATAATGACACTGACCCACTTATATTAATAGCTTTAAGGTGTTTGCAAGAATAAACTCAAATAGATACAAAATATTCTAAGAATTAAGATGAATTATGAGTAAATATATATAAGATGGTATCATAACTAACCTTAGTAACAGATAACTTGACAAAATATCTATAGATATTTCAGCTTAACATCATCATCATCATCAACATCAACATCATAGTAAACGAAAAGATTATTTTCTCTTTAGTGAACTTATTTGACCCATTTAAATGTGAAAGAGAAATTCTCTGATGATTTTCCTTAACTACAACTAATCCAGTTGATTTGGTCACTATCGAACTGATATACTTTTTTGATTGATATAGACTACTAACTTATTCAATACACTACTCAATGATAAATCATAATCATTTGAAATTATTATTATTATCGTTAATATTACTAAAGATTTCCTAACCACCGATAAAATATATAAGTCAGTCAGCTACAACGTAGGACCATGCAAATATATGCATTGGTCCAAGTTGCCATACCACATTAACAAAACAAGATGAACACCGGATTCACAGAAGTAGTCACTTCAATGACAGCAACATATAAAAGAAAAATTGCGTGTAAGGATATAATACAGGAAGAAAGAATTAGTTCGTAGAATGAAAGATATGAAACGATTTTAATCTCGTAGTTTAAAGGAAGACAAAGAGTGTATACACCGACGCCATTGTGATCGATTCTGAGCCATATATAAAATAACAACGTCAAAATTAATCCATCTCACCTTCCTTTTTATTACTTATATTGTCGTATGAGTATTATGAGCTTTTAAATATAACACATTTTGATATTTATCCCGTTTAAATATGGAATATATAGTGAATACATGGCATGCTGATAAGCTTTAAAACTAGTAAAGTAAGCAATTACTTATTTACTAACAAAACTATTTAGAATAAGGGCTAGTGGCTCAAACTTTGGCCACTATAATGTCCCAGATCCGAACTCCATCACATTTACTTCCCCCAAACAACCTGGTACGGTCGAGGATAGAGAGAGTCAGCTCTCCTTCTCCAAATGCTCTCACATGACCACGTGCATACAACGACTACCAGAAAAGTCCTACTCACTGCATTTTCGTGACATCGATGTTGTTTACGAAAGTGAGAGGACGACAAACGAATGTCTGGCACTTTAACCGAGTTGGTGAACACGGAGAGTCTACATAGAGGAGTTGGAAAACCCTCATTCCAAACCAATCGTGCACATGTGCTTCAGTATTCTGAAGGAAAAAACGGCATATGAACCTATTGTTGGTCACCGTTTACCATGGGACTGCATCTCTTAAAGTTGCTCCACTTCCCTGTGGATCGGATCTTTAGGTCGAAGGCTCCGGGGGTAACCCTACAAGAAAAATCAGCTGCTTCAGTTTGGGCACCCGAGCAGGATTATAGTCCATATAAAAATCAGATGACTCGTGTGGTGCATATGTATTCGGTGCCCCCTTGTACCAATAATTATCTGTTCGAATAAATATTATATACATAGATAGATCGAAACGATGGTTTTTAGAGAGAGAGACAGAGGGCAGTCACAAACAAGCTACTGACTCACCTAGAATACAGTACAATAAACAATTTTCAATTATTCACATAAAAATATTAAATTTATGGTATTTTGTCAGTAGAAATTAAACTTATAACTTGATTTCTAAAAATCTTATCGCTTCGTAATTATGAATAGTTTAACAGAACTATGATAAATATCTTATGCTGCCTAGGATACACTACAGTTGATTGTTAAAGTGACAATTTTTCAACCAAATCAGAACAATATCAAATTAACTTAGCTACGATCCAGAAAATGTGTATTCAATATGTAGTAAATCGATATGAAATTGTATATTTCATGTAAGTATAGTTTAGCTTTATTTCTCATCTCACCCTATATAAACTTCAATGTCTATAACAAAATTCTGTTCAATATAGTTACTGTGAGCAAAAGTGACCCGCTTGTTTTGAAATTTGAAGATACGCTATCTTGAAGAATTCTAGACTAGGACAAAACACATGTTTATTGATCACTGATTTTAGGGCAATTTGTGAAACATATTAGTCCATGATCAAAAATATCTAGATTCAACAAACACTAAATCGTTACATCAGCTATACTTACATAACTAAGGAAAAAAAAAGTCTCATGTACTCGATTGTCTGAACCAAAGTACATTGAGCAAGATTCGAACATGCAACCCATAAGTGAAAAGCAAAACAATATGATTATTTATCCAACATGATTACTTATACATACACCAATGATTGTAAATGTTTATGTTTAAGCGGATAAGTGCTTACACAAGCAAAGATAAGTAGAAGTGATATGTTAAGGTTAGTAAATGAAAAATGTAAATCATGTATTTTTATGCACAAATGACTATCTTATATACTTAAAATGAATGTTTGTTTGCATAACGTACAAACTATTATAAGCATTATATAAACAAATAGGGTTGATTTTGTGTTAAGAAAAACAAAATTCGATATGAGACCATAATCACACAAAGAAGACTACAAAAAACCAATAATAAGTTGAAGAGTTGTCAAAATTTTCAATGTCAGAAGGATCTACAAAAGTTAACTGCTTGAATACTGTCAAAATAATTTTTTGTAGATTGAACTGATACAGAAGAAATTACAACAGATATCTGTTTAATAAATTGACATACAAAAAGTTGTTATGCTGTGATGCTAACTATGAGCTATAACATACTCTCATTTGGCTTTTCAGACATACTTAGTATTAAGATTTAAGTCGAAATAAAAACATGGTATAAGAAGTAATACAAATCAATACATAGTGTCCATCTATAGCCATTGATTTTGATATTAGACAAGTAGACCCTTGATACTTAACTCCTTCAATGGTAAGCATGAATAATCAACCCTATCGTACAGCACCAATTTAAATGCTGTCAAACAATTGGGATGAGATTTACAAAATTGATATACACAAGAAGAATCCAAATTGATAGTCACTTTTTATTTAAATTGGTAAATCAGTTGATGAGGTTGTTAATCTTCATCGACTGAGATGGTTGGGCCACGTGTTACGTATGCCTGAACACCGATTGCCACGACGTGCAATACTAACGGGTGTTAGAGATGGTTGGAAGAGAATTAGGGGCGGCCAAACCAAAACGTGGCATCAGTGCTTGAAGACACTAACTTCTAGTCTGAGCCATGTTGGTAGATGCAGACTACTTGTTTGGGGTCCGCGTGACTTTCGTAACCGATGGTTGGAGACTCTTGATGACATGGCTCAGAATCGATCACAATGGCGTGGGTGTATACACTCCCTGTCTTCCCTTAAACTAAGAGATTAAAATGACTTCATATCTTTCTTTCTACTAACTAATTCTTTCTTCCTGTACTGTATCCTTATATGCAATTTTTCTCCTATATATTACCACCTTTGACCTAACCATTCCTATGAATCCGGTGTTCATCTTGCTGTGCTAATGAGGTATGGCAACCTGGACCGATGCATATATGTGCCTGGTCCTACGTTGTAGCTGACTGATTGATCTCTCTTGTATATAGTATTAAAACTGCCAAATGTAAAACAACGAAGATAAACCCAGATCCCCAGTTAAGATAAGCTGATATCTCTTGATAATAAAGAGAAACAATTTCAAATACAACTTCAATGAACAGTTAGCACAAACGATTCTCCTCAACTTTTTGTGTCAACAACCTCCCTTTACTAGCTAATCTACAAATTAAATATTCAATAGGAAATTTAGTTATAACACCATACAAAATCAAACTAGTTTAACAACTAACGCGCATAGATATATTTGAGTATGTCTCTGAGAGTATAGTTAAGACAACTGTATATTAGGAGTTTATTATTTATTTATTTGTTTAAACAAAGAAACATTGGTACAAGGAGACACCGCATAGGCTGTGATACTGTCCAGGTCCTCAAACTGAAGCATGTAGTTTTCTTAGGAGGCCATACCTGGAGCCTTTGACCTAAAGGTCTAATCCACAAGGGAGTGGGGCAACGTCGAAAGATGTAATCCCATGGTAGCCAGTGACCAACAATAGGTTAATACGCTTTTTGTTTCCTCAGGATACTGGGGCTCATGTACACGATTGGTTTGGAATGAGAGTTTTCCGACCCCACTAGGTGGATCCTCCATATCCACCAACCCGGTTAAAGTGCCAGACATTCGTTTTTCGTCCTCTCAATTTTGTAAATAACACCCCTGCAGCAAGAAGGTAGTAAGTAGGATTTCCCTGGTAGTCGTTGTATGCACGTGGCCATGTGAGAGCATTTCAAGAGGGAGAGCTAACTCTCTCCATTCTCGGATGTACCAGGGCATTTGGGGAGAGTAGTAAACTAATAATCAAGGAAAAATCTGAGTAAAACCGATAAAGCAAATAATTGATGCACTTACAGTTTATCAGTGATCAGATATTTTTTAAATAGACTATCATTTGCAAATAATAAATTAGTTGTCACAGTGTAAATTAAAATGAATATATGAAAAATAAAGCGTAAAAACAAACCTCATAGGATGTAAATCAAATAGTGGAGGTTGTAGTTCAGCATATTCAATAGCAGTAATTCCTAACGCCCATACATCACATTTCTCATCATAACCACCTTTACGTTCAACAGCTGCAACTTCAGGTGCCATCCTTAAAAGTAAAAATATACAAGGTAAACTGACAGCATACATGTGAGTTTTTACTTTGTCAATGGAATAAAAATGGAAATAAAAATGTGACTTAAACGGAGGATTTTTCTTTAAACTTGCATCCATCAACTGGATGGTTAACTTTTGCATAACGACAATCCAGTAAATTAGTCTATGAGATACTCTTTTCATTATTTACGTAAAACTTATTTAAAGAAGACAGAGATTATGTTTAGCAAAGAAGTGATAATCCCATAGTTATATACTTGAATATATTCATATAATGAATGAAGTCGTGTTTAACGTGAATTATCTTTCCATAGGATCTATTTATGGCATGATAAGCAATGACTTTAATGAAGTTTTCAAGTCCATTCTGAATCAAAGCATTATACCTTGTATTATTTTTTTTTTGAAAAATCATTTGACTTCAACTCTAGAAGAGCAAGGAAGAAGTGAAACAAAAAATGTGTGCTTAATTATTGATCAGACAATAATATAGAAGTGTTTTAAGTTTAATATCGACAGTGAGATCGAAGTTATGAGATGGAACAGAAAAAATTCAATGAAAATTGTAAACTATATGAAACAAGTCAAGTGTCACCACAGGAAAACTCCATATCAATTTGTGAGAGAGATGATATCATGGGAAAGATCTTAATTGATCTAGGATTAAGTGACCAATGGAGTAGGTTCCTACCAATCATCTAAGTCATTTAATCATGTTTATTTCTTTAAATATTTGTATGTAAGTGCTATATTTGAAGCGATTACGAGTTCACCTAGTCTGCGAATGGAACAAAGACCAATAAGCTAGCTATTCTGATGCGTCTCAGCTCCGCTAACTAGAGAGTAAAGTCCAAGTTCGAAACGGGGAAATATATCCCGCAAGTAGCCAGAAGCACGAGTAATCCTGACATAACAGTAAGTAGGTTATTTTACTACGTACAAGGAACCTATACGACTAGATAGTTTTTATGTCGTTTGATATCAGTCCAATTGTGAGTTTACTTCAATAAATCGATCTCGTAAGCTGCCGACATCTAGGTATACAGTATTATTGCGTTTTATATATCGATCAGGTCTTTTTTAGTTTAACCAATCAAAAACTCACTCACCAAACCATACTCCGCAACAATTCATTATAAAAACATACTTTCAGTATCGCATTTCAATAGATAACTTTCATTAAATCATTAACTCTTTACATTAAAGGTTGGTGGAAATCGTTCAATTTCTGCATAATACCTTGGATAATGGAATGATTTTAACTAAATCACCACTAAAGACCTGGAAGTAATGGAAAGATGTTTCGCCCTAGTATGGGGACATCCTATCATCAGTGCATGCTCAGTCTCTCCAAGTGTAAAGCCCAAGAATTCTAGGCTTCAGGTCGCAGATTTACACTTTCAACTTTAGTAAATTTGTGATTTTATAGTAGATCAACTACATGATATATTGAACATAATAAACAGCCTCTGTACATTATTCATCTTATAGTTTTACTGCTGCTTGTACAAAAAAGGGTTTGTTCAAACGAGTACAAAGGGTTGAGAAAAATTCAATGAACATTCAATTAATAAGTTGGTACGTTGTTGAACTTTAGACAATTGAAAGTAAGAAGTAAAATGTTCTCAAGATTTAGATATCTTGCTTGCTAATCAATAGGGCGTACCTAAAACGTCAAGAAAACCAATTCTGCCCCAGTAGTTTGGAAGTGATATAGTAATGATTCAGTGGTTAAAGAACTCGGCTTTCATTCATTAAAGATGCAAATGTAAACCCCACTGCACTCACTCCAGTTTGAGCACCGGGGTAGTGTCAGTAGAAAAATTCATCATATCAGTTCGGAAAGGAGTTAGTCAGAGGTCCAAGAGGATATTTCAAGGTCAAAATCTATGTCAAACGAATGGACATCATCGCTTATACTGATATGAAATTATTTTAAACCTCATTTTGCAAGACTCCAAGAATGTTTTGGTTAACAGTTTGTTAAGCTTCTGAAGTGCACAAAGTAGAATAATTTGGGCAAGGTAAACTGTTACGCTCAGTGAAATAGAATGATAAATCCGTGTAAACAATACAGTAGCTAAGCTTCCTTTCATTTCTAATATTACGTACACCTATACGACTATGTAGATAAGTAATTTTTAAAATATAAATTATTTCTGCCAGTAATTCTAGCAGAGAATCGATGTTCAAACTGGATCTTACATGAAATAACATTCAAATCACTAGCGGTCCCATTCTTGATTGCTAAACTGGCTACATGACATAAAATATATGAGCACAATAAGTACTCCCACTTTACCCTTTAAAAATATTCTTTTCATCATATCTCATGTAACGAAAGTGAGTTGACCAATACTTACCAGTATGGTGTTCCAATGAAAGAATTTCGACGCTGAATCGTCTGTGTGATTTGAGCTGCAACACCAAAATCGGCTGCAAGCAAATAAAGACAAACGAAATTTTTAAAACTGCAAGATTTTGCTATCATTACAGATAAATGTTTCGTGTGACGAACTTTTAAAATAATTCCCAACTAGTTGATATGTCATTTCGAGAATAAGAATGATTTGGTCGGTTATTTCTGCGAATTAAAGGTGACTGTTTTGTATGGCCACATCGCAAGAAAAATGATTCACTGTAAGTTGAATCCCTTGACTCTCACCGAGGCTAGTGACTATCTATTAAAGGTCAGAAAATGTTGTCGTGTTTAAATTCGAAACTTAGACCAAGATAGTTAATTGTAACAAGTAATAAAAATAACTAAGTATCTAAGGTGAAAGATTTGACTGGATAAGTTATTGTAAACAGTTAATTGCACCAACATCATAGTTGATATACAGTTACGTAAAAATGAGTTATACGGTTGAGACAAAAATCCATAGGGGTTCTAAACTCAGTATTAGGTACTATTTCATCTACTTATCCAAATGGTACAAAAAATAGGCCACATAAGTGAATCGATCATGTTGTGAAGAAAAAAAAGGATTGTCGTAAATACCATAAGCAAAAAAAGACAGTATTAGTTGAGAGACACAAGGACAATAGTCTTTCAGGTATATAATTCCCCGCTATGGCTAAATAACAACGAATAAAATTAGACACATTTTGGCGATTATATATATGTATATATATGGCTCGACAGGAGAGAAACGATGAGTCGCGTTATTCCTCAGTGATTTGTAACCGATGACCAAATACTAGTTAACGTCTGATATACAAACTATAATCAATCTAAGTGCTGTTTTCTCAACTTTTCTTAAAAACAGGGCAATTCGTGCATCAAATATGTGCGATCTCCAAGTGGAAAAAACAGTGATTTTATCAAAAAGAAGGTTACGTTAAGTCGAGGAATGTTGGGAATTCAACTTTCCGTCATTGAAACGTTACAAATGTTAGTTTACTATTCAAATTTCTGAAACACGAAGAACATATACAGCGCATAAATGAACTTGCCAATTTTGACATCACCGTCAGTCGTCAGTAGAATATTTGCACCCTACAAATTTAAAATCAAACAAATGTTACGAATTCATACTGTGCAAAAGATAGATTTAGTATATATAATAAACATTCTAAACAAATCAGTCAGTCAGCTACGACGTAAAGCCAGGCACATATATACATGAGTCGAAGCTACCATACCTCATTAACACAACGAGATGAACACCGAACTGATAGAAGTAGTCATTTCAATGGTAGTAATATATAAAAGAGAGATTGCACATAAGGATATAGTACAGGAAGAAAGAATTAAAAAGGTAAAAAGTGATTTTCATCTGACAGTCGAAGGGAAGACAAAGAGTGCATACACCGACACCATTGTGACCGATTTTGAACCATGTCACCCACAATCTTCAACCACTGGCTACGACAGTTGCACGGACCCTATAACCAAGTACTCTGCATCTACCAACATGGCTCAAACCACAAGTTAGTGACTTCAAGCACTGATGCCACGTTTCGGTTTGAATGCCCCTAACTTTCTACCAAACATTCCCCAACACTGATCAGCGTTGCACGTCGTGGTAATCGGTGTTCAAGCATACGTACCACGCGGCCCAACCATCTCAGTCGATGATTTATAACCTCATCAACTGGCAAATTATGAAAGACAGTTATCTAGGATAAAATTATCCTAAGATTCCAGAAGCACTAACTACGACCGTTAGTTCAAAACCAGTGAAGAAATTCACGCAATCAGTAGGAATATTTATAGCTTTCTAAACCAATCAAGACCCAAGTGTGCAATACTCCGTGCAATTACGAGTACCAGTGTACAGCAACAAATTACGACTACGGTTGCCAGCTGAAAAAGGGTATGCTACTTCATGTGGCCAGTTTTGTAGGTACATAACATTAATTCTACTAAATCGGTAAGTTGGAGAGAATAAAATGTTTTAGAAGCATAGCTTCATAGAAAACGAAATCGAGTACAAAATGATATAAAACTATCCGACATTAACAGTAAGTTTTGAAACACCAATTACCTTAATATCACGGTGTATTTTCCCTGCTTTATGCATGTATTCTATGCCTCGTAACGTTTCCCTGGATACAAAAGCTATGCAATTCTCTTCAATGGGTCTCTGGATATCTATATTTCCGTATTATGCCATGAATCAAGACGCCTACTTGTGTAAATATCCTGCATAGAGAACCCTCCACAGAACTCCATACATATCCACAATTTATTATTTCTACATTTATTATAACGACAAGTACTATACCTGAAATAGCTACCGAAGAATTGTACGATGTTGCAGTGTCGACATTCGCGGAGTGTTTGTATCTCCTGAAGTATAGCACGTACATCATCCTTAGCATCGACTTTAATTATTTTGACAGCAGCGAATTCCTTTGTCCTTAACCGAATGGCCTGAAAACAATATATCACTTTACAGATGATACCTTGTAAACCTCGCCGTATGTGCCAGTTCCAATGCTCTGGATTAGTTTATATTCTTCCTTCGGGTCTTTATTGTTTACAAACTCCCTTATGTACCCTAACTTCTGCTCGCTAAGTTCTGATCTAACTGCCATTTTGAAGAAACTCCATCACTGGCTTCTGCATCGCAAACAACCAAACAGGCCGCTTTCATAATACCCTAAATCCAATATCTCACGAGCTTATATGAATTGTTTGATTTCTTTGAGCTCGTCCATTGTTGTTTCAATGCAGTTCTAGATATCCGATATTGTTTAACAGATGGCAGTCTAGATACCCCAACAACAGTGTTGAACCTCGATCATATAAACTCCCTAAGATAATCCTAGGGTCGGAGAAGCAACCTGATCTTCTGATGAGTAGCGCTCATAGTTACGACAATACTGACATTCAAGTAAGACCTTATATGTCTCTTGAAGATAGAACAAAAAAGAGTTAGCACTAGCTGAACTAGAAACGTGTCGTCAAAATGGTGAGGAAAGTCTTCGATTAATGAGTTTTCGAATAGTCAGGTCTTGGGAGCGGATGCTACCAAAGCTTGTATGGATAAGTTGTTCTCCCTAGGAGCTTTATATGCCAATGCTCGTAGTCTAAGAAACAAATTCCATGAACTAGAAGCGTCAGTTAACAAATTAAGGCCACTCATTGTAGCTGTGACGGAAACTTGACTAGTCCAAGACATTGACATTACTCCTGAATTATCCGGATATCACTACCTAAGTGATAGACATAGATGTGGAAAAGGAGGTGGCGTCCAATAATGTAAATATCTCCTCCACTGCTTGCGAATCCCATGATAGTGGAGCTTTTGAAGTTATTAGCTGTGAGTTCACTTTCGGATGATGTACATTTATACTCGGTGTCAGCTATCGCAGCTAAATCTGCTTAGATGATAACTTTAATTTAGGGCACATTCAGCTATGGAGTGCAAATAACAGATGCTAGATATTAGGAGACTTTAGTGCACCTGATATTAGTTGGATTGAGATAGCTTCGGTAGGATCTAGTAGAGCATATATATAAACCCACATGTTTTGGTAATCACTCATGCGACTGAGGATACTGCCAGCTTAAATATCCTTCCACCGCTAACAAATAACAACCACGCTGTTTTGTCATTGACGTCTAGAGCTTTGACGTGAAATACAACCAGGCTAAGCCTCGCCCAAATGTACGGAGTGCGCTGCCAAGACAGATTGGTCAGTAAATACTGGTTCATCAGTTGAAGATGCATGGTCCATATTTAAAGACAAGTTTAGTCCAGTTGCGGCCTCGTTTATATTATGACTGGTATCACGTAGATCGAATAATTGTCCACCATGTGGCTGGTGATACTCTGAAATATAGGTTAACGAAAGTAATCAGCAGGACATTCTACGCAGCCAATCTTGCGTTGACTTTCTCGAGTCAATCAGCGATGTCTACTCAAACGAAGGATAAGTTACCTGAGTTGGCCTCCTCAATATGCTTTTACAAATTCATCTGCTCCTATGGAGACATCTATATCAGGCGTACTACCAGGCAACTTAACCAACGAATGAGTGAACCTCTACCAGCTTGGTTTATAAAGGGCCAGATAAAAACAATTCGCAGTTCTATCTTGGCACATCTTATTGATAGTGGTCATGCTGTAGATAAATCGAAATCATTTCGAGTGATCTATCGTATTCTTCCACCATTTCCCAACGGAGTTCCTTCCTGCCTCCTACATATAGCTGAAGCCATAGGAATTCGTACATATAACCCCAATTTATATGTACAGAAGAAATTCGTAACCCCTCTATCTCTTCTGTGGCCAGTTATAACTTAACTAACGATTTTTTTTCTAATTTTTACCATTATTATTTTATTGTTGTTATTTCTTTATTTTATTCGTCTTTTGTTAACATTAACGTTATTTTCACATCCATTATTTGTTTGTAATTTTCCGTTTCTTTCCGTTTGCATTCTTCACTATCTAATTATTTACACACTTCTTATTACGTAATGATTTTAATGTTTTGTGATGACTGTTCCAAGTCTATTCTCAATGCTTAACTATTGATGAGACTCTTGTTATCGTATTTTATTATCCTTACTACTATCAGTACACCTGTCTTCCTACTATCAATATGTATTTTTACCTATTATGTGTGGTGACTTATTCTACTTCATTGTGATTATTGACCCATATTGCCTTGATTGGTTTAACATCGTATAAATATTCATGTATATTAGAGTAAAGCCTGATGTCGATCTAATTGAAAACAATTTTTTGCTTATATGTGTTGT